GTCCGTAATAGCGAGGTGTCCGTAATAGCGAGGTGTCCGTAATAGCGAGGTGTCCGTAATATCAGGGTGTCCGCAAGGCGAGAGTTCACTGTACATAAAATTTTCATGACGCGTTAATCTTACGTTTGCGCAGGTTGCTCATTTCGCGACATTTTAATAGCGAGCTTTAGTTGCAATTTAACAAATTATTCGCAAAACCTTGCATTCAATAAGGTTCGTATGGCCAGGCATTTCGATTTGTGACTTGTCAACTTTCAGTCATTACCTTGAGATTCACGACGTCATAGGCAGGAGGACCATCGAAGTTGCTGTCGAAATAAGTGTTCATTCCTAAGAGAATAAAAAACTTATTCAAGACAATTTTCTCTTCATTTAGACGGGTGGTACGGAAAGATTACACGAGGGCAGCATACGTACCTAAAGCGCTCTCGAAGCCATTCACAGGATTGTTGAATTTCTTGAGCTCATCGAAAACTAAGCTCCTAAGCTTTTGTGGTGAGTCGCCCTGTAAAATAAATAAGAATTGCTGTCCTTAAAGGTATCGAAAAAGTAGTAAATGATCCTTCTTTTGTATATATTCTCTGTAATATACTTTCTCAAGTTAAAACACACCATATTTTACCAAGTCTGATATGGAATCAGAACCTRGATTTTTATTACCAGCTATTCCTGAGTTGTCATTAGCATGACTCTACCAGAGTGTTTAGGTACTTACTGGTGCTATTTTCCCAGCTTTTTCCAGCCGGTCAAACGCGAGGTAATAGGCGTTGACAGCGTCATAAACTTGAGGCACATAAGAAGACGTTCGCAGTGGCTGAAATATCCAAGAAAAATAAATGTTAAATCATATATTCATGTAATTTTTAATTTAGTAAAAAAAATACACACTACAAAAAAACTTAACTCTCTCAGAGCGTGCACTTTGGCTTCGAAGGGTTTGTTCCGGTTCTGGTGTTTATTGAGCACCTTCGTTATCATTAGCTCAGCGGCAAAGCGCATGCGCCCTAGAAACTTATTTGTGACGGATAGGAAGAAAAACCCGCCATGTTATATCTTGAGCATTCCACAGGAAGCCCGAATAATACATTTATCAAATTAAGTGACATACCGTATCATAGATGACTCCGGGGTATTTAGATCTTATGTTACGTTTATTCCACCAATGGACGACAACTTGAAGAAATACTCCACCATTACCAGCTGTGAAAAGAAAGTGGTCAATTTTACCTAATTTTGCACCTTTTTGGATTAGGCCTCCAATTTCACACATCTATCTTACGATTACGACAAGAAGGCATCATTGAAAAACAGCCTAAAGGCTCCTGCAATTACAAGAACTTTCAAAACATTACTCGTGTCTATTAATTTCCAAATTGTACTCGAGATCGTGCGATTTCCTATACAAATTATTAAAAACGTATTTAGATGAATTAAATAATTACATCTTGGTGCAATTCCTATGGCACCCTGCATACTCTTCTTGATATCTGGGTGTGTCTTATTTGACAAAGGTGTTGCTGTTACTCCATCTGTGCCGATCCATACCCAGCCTTGCCCTGACATACCCTACCACAAGAAAGACAACACATCCATTACGAACGCCTATACGTTTAGCAAATCTATCTTTAAGGTACTTGATCTGGCTAAGGGCAAGAAAAAAAGTCACTTTTCTGACATTTTATGGAGTGTTCATAATGTAGCTAGATACTTTGTCATGTTTTTTTTTTTTTTTTTTTTTTTTTTGCAATAAAAATATTCGATTGTGTTAGAAAAACGGCCTTAAACTTCGTATCTAGGAAGCCATTTTGATGCTGAACGTGCGTAACAAAAGAGCGCTTATGCAACTTGACCTGCCTGTTTCAGCATGCGTTATTCAATTCTGTTACTTCTCAGTATCCAAAGATTTCTCACCTTATCCTTGGCTTTCTGAAAGACTGTCTGGGCATTCTTCGGTAGAGAACTCACAAGGTTTACTCTAGTTTGTGAGTCTTTGAGCTAAAATTTAATAATAATCAATAGATTAGATAAAACTCAATATGTAAAAAGATATCTCTGAAGCTGGAACCTTGGCAGAAAATATCATGAAGAGCAAAGAAATGCAAAAGAACTTTCCTGAGTGACCACGAAACAATGGTTCTAAGTCGAGTTTGGACTTTTCATACATTTGTTGGCATTTTATCAAGTGGAACAACGAATGGAGCCTTTGTTTCGTGGGGTCACTCAAGCAAAATCGGGAAAGGTTTATTCCAGGAAAACGAGAGGAAAACATCGACTTACCAATTGTACTTTTCTTTCAATTGTATCAGGCTGAGCCGAGGAGGAAAACCTCGACGAAGCTACCACTCGAACTCCTTTGATTCTTGACTGGGTTTCAAACCGGTCTGACAAGTTTTTAGCAGAAATGTCAGTGGACGTAATGGTGCTTACCTAGAGAATGAACGTGAACGAAATATGAATGTCAATTGAGAAATAAGAAAGAAAGAAAACAGGAACTCGGACTTGCATGTTACAGTCAATATAATAGCAACCATGTTGAACAGAAGAACTTTGAACTATCTTTTCTTGGCTTAAAAAACTTTCGAGTTAATAAGAAAAAAGTACACTGAATAAGATTCATGCAAGAGGTTCAGTTCTCTTCTCGAGAGTTAAGAAAAAAGAAATTTTTTCTCTTACCCTTTTCCAGTTGAAGTGTGTAACCAGAGCGACTAGGGCTGATGCTTGATGAACGTCGCTGGCACAAGTCCTGAAGAACTTTGGGAAAGTCTTTTTGTTGGAAAGCATTGGCGACGTTGAGCCGTAAGAGATTTGTGTCATGGTATTAGCTATAAATAAAAATCTTATTAAAAATCCGGAAAAAAAACCTTTTTTACTCATAAGGCCTTGAAATAATTATAAAGAGATGGATGTTAAAAAATATAAGCGAGAAAAAGTAATTCCCTTGTCTGGCGAACCATAAAATTTTTCAGCCGGTCACTTCCTTGTTACCAACAACAATAACCTTTCTCTTCGCTAACACGAACCAGGAAGTGCTTCAAATTAGTTGCTGATATTGTTAACTGTGAAATCATGTCCGTAATTCCTGGATTTCCTGGAAAGGCCCTGAGAACAGTTCTTTTCAAGATTGTAGTCCAGTAATAATAGCTCTGACAGTTATTGCACCCATTTTTTTCCAGATCCTGTAAACGAATTCTTTGCCGAACTTTCCAGAAGTAACAAGAGACAGGAAAAGGTTTGCTAGAATAACCACCTCTAACAATGAAAAAAAACCTGAATGGAAATGAAAAAAAGTCTTACCATTGTCTCTGAAGTACTGATGTGAAGCGATCGAACACGACGATCGAAGACCACCGACGACGCCAACAATGTCTGGGTCAGCGGCTAGCTGCTGTGCAGCAATTTTACAAGTTGTAGAAGGGTCAAGTCCACCATCTTTGACCATACCTTCAAAAGATAGATAAAATGTTGCATCATCTTGCATAATTTGGTTGGCATAATCCTAACAAACTGCAGTAAATTTTGTTATACAAAAATACATAAATTTAGTGGCAGCCATGTTGTGGAGCAACACCAGAAAATTCAATGACATGTTCTCTCCGGCCTTTTTCAATACCAAAACTTAGGATTTTACTGCCCTGTTGTATGACGTGAGTACTGTAAAATCCCTCCCTTAAAATTTTTTCTTCACGTGGTAAAATAAATAGCAGCAATGTTTTAGGACCAAACAATTTTTTATCCGTTTGGAAATAAAATTATGCCTTTTCATGCCCTAAAGAACATCTAATTGTTCCTTCTCCCCACAATGGATACCTTGGAAACTTTCTATACTAAAAGGCAGATTATTCCCAATTGACTTTTAAAGTCAACTTGTAAAATTTAACATAAATCTGCAAAGTTTGTTCTTACTTTTGAAGTCGGTCGAGAGCCTGACTCTTCCTCTGGCTTTAGCATTAATAATCTCAACTGCTATTCTGAATGCGGTTTCCTGGTCAAAATAAAAGCGTCGAACAAAACGAGCTTAAAAACTGTTGCAAAGGCTTCTTTCCCAACCTGCCAAGAAAACGTTAATTTTTTGAAAAAATAACTAACACTTACTAGTTCTATGCCTAATGTAGATGTTGCTCCTAAACCACTGTGAAGTGGGGCAATAAATCCTAGTTTTATCGTGATATTCTCCTGTGTAGAATGTAAACCTAAAAATCAGAAGAAAAAAAAGAGTTAACTGCAGTTATTGAAAAACATCCAACAAACGGATGCTAAATTTGCAAGAATTTTTTAATCAAGTTTTTTTTATCAACATTTTGATTTCACCGTGGTGAGTGATCACAAACTGCCCTAGACACCCTTGAGGACATTAACTCTAAAATTACCATCTCATTATCAAATAACTTCAGTCAAATACCGCTTTAAAGATGAGATGCTTGACAAATCATTTCAAATCAAGTCCAATTAACAATGTGTTCAATCGGGTTATACAAAGATAAGTTTCAAAACAGTAGTTTTGGATTGAAGTATTAAAACTTTAGGCGCCCAAATAAAATTTGATAGTATCTGCAAAAATGCTTAGAACTATGTCTAGGAAAATAACTATTAAAGTTAAAAGGCAGAACGCAAAACTGAACTGCACGTGACGGAATTGAAGACCAAGAAAGACCATTGACAAATTAACAAGTAGTATCTATTGATGTGCGCTTAAGACTCAGCAAAAATTAGTTATGGAATTCTTAAAAGAAACTGATGGAAAAGGATGTCTACGTAAAAGAATCCACAAATGAATACATCTACAAATTTCGTTTCAACAGAGAGGAACGATTTTCAAACCAATACACAACTCAGTGTACCAACGACTTATCTATATTCACTGATGTATCGGCGCGTTTGAAATTCTAGGTATTTTGAAAAGCGAATGTTTACGATCAAAGACATCTTTAGCGAGCCTAGCGAGTTCAGCCACCAAGTATGCGTCTCTTAATTGGCGGATAATTGCCCAATTATTAGGTTACAAGCTTCTAGATTTCTTCTCAGAAACACCAATGTGATTCTCTCAAAAGGGGTTGAGGAGTTAAGGAATTTAAGGCCATGAATCGTTTAAAGATCACACGTGCATGCTTGATGGAGACTGATCAGGGAACCAACAGAAGACTAAGACCGTTGTGTGGTGGTAATAGCCCTAAGGCCAAGCGTCTGTGCTACGAAAAAGACCAAATGTTCCTAGTCCTACTTACGCACGACAAAGGCGTTTCTTGAGAACACAAATTTTGCGCCTCTTTTCTAAAAAATCCACTAAATTGCCATAATTCTTTTAAAAGATATTCCAATAACCATCAATTAAAGTTTAATATGAGATCTAATCGTAGTAATTGGATTGATGTCAGAATGATGGTGTAAAATTTTTTGTGTTTAGCTGAACCACTCAAGTCAACATTTGTCTTGATCCTAATCCTTCCTTATGATAGTACAACCAAAACACATTAACGTACATGGCAATTCTTTGTGAAAAAAGTAAAAAAATGTCCTAGAAAATGAGAATTAATTAACAATTCCGACGAAGACGCTTTGCAGTGGGAACCGAAGTAAACTTGTTGAGCGAAATTAATAGTACTACTTGAAATTCCAATTGCCTTTCCAAAGTGATTTTTTGGGACAACTGTAGGAAGAAGTTCTTCTTGGAGCAATCGATGAAGTCTGGTCCAGATGCGAAAAACAACCATCAAACACGCACGCCATATGCAAGGATGGCATCCCAACTCACCAGTAGAATTAGAGAAAATTCTGCCATCTGTAAGTTGTGCAAGACACAGAAGAAACAGCAACGTTGATAGTTCCATTGCTCTGAAAGATCTATTCTCCGGTTAAGGCACTTCAAAATGGAAGGAAACTTTAGAGGCTTGGGCTAACCCGATTCGTGATGATACGGTCTTGAAATGCGTGGTATAGGAAATGCCAAGCTTTCTCCGTAAAACCACCTACTTTTATACGTCAAAACAGGGAAATAAGCGAATACACTGTTTATGAACAAATAACTTCAAGCCAATTGTTGGAAAATCTGTAATTTCAATGGCGTAGAGTGTTAGAAACAGTTTCTATCAACAACATTAACATGGCAAGGTAAGGCGAGAGAGACTTGTCCTTTGGTGCCCTTAGAGGCTAGAGTTTCAGAGTGACGAAAGCAACACTGACAAGTATGTTACAACAAAATAAACAGTTTTTCTTGAAAGTAAAGAGATGGACGTTTCCTGAGCCATGTTTGTGTAAAGAGTTAAAAAAGGTGACAAAATCGTTAAAGAATTCAAAGTATAGACTATGAAAACACTGGAAGGGGTAAAAGTAATCGTTGCTAAGGAGTGTTTGATGGGTTACTACGTATGTTTGGGAAAGTTATTCAGAATAAGTGGTAGAAAGAATGCAATTTGACAGGAGGGATACCTGCAGAGAAATTAAGGGATACTTATGGGGTACAGCCCCAGAACTGTACCAAAATGACTAAATGTCTCTACTCCATTGGAAGATTTGAGACTAAAGGACCTCTCAGTGCTGCAGAGGTTCCCTTACAAGAAATTACAAAAATTAGGGGACTTTATTTTCCTTGTTGGCCATCTCATCGAGATTTAGGATGTTGTTGTTTTTGGAAAAAAAGGTATTAGTTGACTCGATGAGATATTTCCTGGATAAAGCTTCCAATTAGGAACAAAAAGAATCCATTGTCTAAAATGCCCGTCTATGAGGCACCGACCAACGTCACCGACCAACGTACATGGACTCTAAAGACTGGATAAGATCGCGTTGGAGCAAACTGGGTGCCCAAAATACATGGGCTGCCAAACACCCTAGATATCATCTCCTAAATTTAGAGAGCTTTGGAGAATTGAAATTTTAATCTAAACTTCAAAGCCATAACGCTTTTTAAATTACGATAGCAAAACAACTGAAGGAAGAAAGTTCATTAAAAGATGCTCTCGAAGGGTTGTACTTTTGAAAGCCTAATTGCAAAGAAAACAATGAATGGCTGATGGCTGCTCTTGTTGAGCAATCACGGACGAACGATATTTGATAGGCATTTGTAACCCGATGCTTATCTCCTAACTCTTCCGATTGTTTGTTTCGAGGTGTTGAAATCTTGCTAACAAGCAGGTAGATATCGAAACCCTTTCATGGCCGCTTACAACGAGGATTTCAACTAATTTTAACTTAAATGTCCCAAATATCTCTACCAAGTAAAGTTTTCTCAAATATGGCTAAGTACTGAAGATATTTGGTCGAGAGAAGATGCGTAGAAACGAAGGAATGTAGAGTTGACGCCCAGAAAAACTCGTCGAAGCGACGCCATCACTACAGCGTCAAAGCAAACCGAGTTTCAGGAAAGATTGGTCATTCATTGGTTCCTTCCTCGTGCGTAAGGCTTTTTCCACATTACTTTCAAGGCATTCCTTAAAATGAAGACTTGTAAAAGAGTTTAGGAGCTTTGTTAATAAAGTAAGTTAGAATTGCGTGTAAACGGTTGTACTAATTTATCTGCCACTGCATGTTCAGACAGATCTGTCTAGTCTATAAGATCTGGCTAACATTACAGTTGTGTTTCTTCAGGACTCGCTTCTCTTTTTCTCCCTGGACCCCTAATTCATCGAATTCACACGTAAAGAAAGCGTTTTGTGTCTTGTTAGCGCTTAGAAAGCGTCATAAGCTGAACGATTGCTTCCGATCGAGATTATACATTTCCACGTTTGTTCATAGTGTGAAAACATTTTGTTCATCAATTCAAGCATTTAAACCTACTACAAACTCGTCTGTTTCTTTGTCCATGTAAAAACTACAAAGGAACACTTAACTTGAGATTAGTTTCCAAGTACTCGGTCGTTTGACGAACCGAACTTTCTGGACCATCTCTATGACACCGATTCAATTTTGAAACGCTTAAACTTTTAACTTATCTTGAAAATTTGGATACGAAATCAAAAGAAAAAGCACAAAAAAGTTCTAGTTCTTGCGAGTTTGTGTAAATTTATGTCGATAAATATTTATTAGCAAAAACAAAAACATTAAGGCAACAGAACTTGAAGAGAATAATAGATCAACTTCTAACAAAATGGCCACTGATATTTGTACAAACTGAAGTCGGGAATTTCTCAAATAAACTCAAATGGCACTTGGAAACGTTGCTAAATTATGATTTTTTAATAAACGTTAGCCACGCAATCTTTACTGGCTTCGATAAAATCATCTTTGTATGGGAGTTTAAGAAAGATGTATGAAGAAAGGAATGTACAAGTTAGAAATGTCCCAGCCATGAAAAAGGCAATAGAGCTACCATGACAAAAATCAAATTTAGTTTGGATTTACACTAAAAAAATTAATGTGTAAAATAAGACATTAAAAGGGGTCATTGGAAATATCTTGTCACAGACAACAGATAACATTTTTTAGCACTGAAGAAATGTGTTCAATGTTGTCCACTTAATACAACAGAAGCCACTGCCTTTTACAGTTTAGTTCTTGTTATCTCCTAGATATAGTTTAACTTTCTCGCATACATCACGCATTTACAAAGTAGAATTGTTATTCAGAAACGACTACCCTGTGGAATACACTTTTTAAAATCATTTGATTCGGATAAACGTTGGCCTACAACTGAATTGTTCAACTAAAAGTTTTCGCTGCCGCCGCCAAAACTTTTACATTTAAGTTGTTTAACTTGTTTTCTAAGCAATGTACTTTCTCAGCATTATTTACTATTACACAAGTCTTTTAGTTTCACTTTGACCTAAGTTACTTAACTTACGTAAAACTTAATTGAGGAACAAGAATTGTGATGAAAAAAACTTTATTGGTTTAATTGGAGAACTTGAAAAGAAAATTACATGGCGCCATTATTAGATTCCTTGAAGGTCCATGTTGGTTTACTCAAGAAAAGTTTAGTTTTTGAACTCAAGGCTTAGACAAGGTTTAACCAAGCACCCAATGAAATTATAGACTTAATAACTAAGTTTATTACTCGAAAATCATTGTAGTGCATAGTAATGTTCACTGATAGTTCTTAGGTAACATCTTTCTAAATGCAACAAGCAAGACAAGTCGAGTGGCAGCATGTTTGTTGCTGTTGATCTTCAAAACTAAACAACAATCGCCCTCAGCAAAACTCTCAATGAAAAACGAACCAATTTTGTTTTGAAAGGGAAAACGATTAAGCTACCCTTTAAGTAGACTTGAACTAAAAGATTTTCCAAGAAAACGGAGACTTTCAAATCTGTGAAGATTGCATGATCTAAAGCATTTGAAGACGACATTTTTTCTGTTAAAACTACCCAAAGTATTTTGGAAACCTCTTGTGAGTATTTTAACTTTTTACAAGTAGCTCCCTTACTACATGAATTTTAACTTTAGGTATGCGTAATTCTACAGTGATATTAGGAGAAATAATTGTGATGGTTTTGAGCATTGTCTTGTTCTGACATAACGTCTGGGTGGCTGACTGAATATAAGGTGAGGCAACCATTTCATTAACTTTTGATCACCTCGCCGAAAGACTGGCAACAGATGCAGTAACTGGATTAAATTAATACTTAGGAACAACTGAACCAAGCTGAAACGATGGGGGAACTGAATAAGCACAATCTTTTGGATAATCTTGCTCAAGAATATAATAAAATCAAGATGTCGCACCAAGGAGTCATTTTTCAAAAAAAACTTTGATGTGCATTTGCCAAGGTCTGTCTTCATGAATCTATCCTAGTTGACAAAGTTTTGAACTCCGAATGACATTGAAATTTCGCAAAGCGAAGTAATTCTAGTTCTGAATTCTAAAACAGGAGAAAGCGCTGACAGTAAATTCAACTTTTAAATTTTAAAAGCTTTGATCTTTTTATCAAGATAAGACAATTATAAACTAAAAGTTTGCAAGAAAGACTCAACATTTTTGTGGGAGCATTCAGCTTCATGTAAAAAACTCGCTTAAGAATCAGAAAAGTGAATCACAAATAATATTCATACCAAGACAAAAAATAATTTTAGCATCTAAAGGTAGTCAAAGTTAAATGCTGAACGTTTGTATGGCTTCTATGCTGATTGAATTTTTATTGTGAGTAATCAAGTAGTGTCTTATGAATAGATTCTGTTGTCTTCATGGAAATGTTGTTTTCTGCAAGTCCTTTGGAAGAAACGAGCAACACAGAGACCCAAGCATTTTTAAATTGATGATAAAGAATCCAATGCTGTCATAGGAATCGTGTAAGCAAATTCAACTCTAAACTCTACACAATTTTGTTTTGATGTCAGTACATTTACGTGTAAAAAATTTGTACAAGGACAAAACATCCAGGAATCCGCAAACACTGTAAGACCCTTTTATGAAATACTTTACCAAATTAAATCCGAACTTCAGAAACGTTTCAGCACTTTTGTCTTAGTGTTAGTACATTTACGTACAAAATACGCAAAAGGACAACATCTCCAAGAATCAAACACTATAAGACTGTTTTATGAAATACTTAACCAAATTAGATTCTTACATGTTTAAAATATTTCGAGATGTCGTTAAATAGACTAAAAAAATGATGTTTGAAGTTTGCTTCAAATGTCTTGGAAAACCACTATGACTCAAATCATGACCCGCAAAATAAACTTGTACAAATTTCGTAGACAATCCAGTCCGTAGCGTAAAAGAAGAGATTAATATTTGAAATCAGATTTTCATAAGGATAACATATCGTTCAACATGAGTCCAGTCTAAGCCCAAGAAAACAATTTCTGGAAAACTTATATTGTAGAGAAAAAACTGGCAAAACATTTTGAGAAAAAGCTTCGCTCTCATGATCATGATAGTAATTCAAAATAAAAGCTAAATGTGAAGATAACAGGTCAAAATAACTATTCTTAAAGAAATATCCTTCGAGTTTGTTCAAACAATTTTGCATTGGTGTTCATGAATTCCCGCCTGATAATTTTGAAACGTAATGAAGAATACTAAAATTGTTGTTTTGTTAAGTTAAACAATATAGTAGTCCATCAAGGGTGAAGTCTAAATTCATACCACATGAAATAAACGCATCAAAATGAAACTCTTACTTCAATTTTAATGAACTCTAATGATTTAAAACATAATTATTAAAGAGGGGTCCAAAAGTAACCTGGGGTAGCCTTTTAACAAGAACTGCCTTGTCCGCATTGAAAGCTTTAATTCGTTTGGTTAATTGTAGTCAATTTGGAGGGGAAAAATCATATAAAAAATGTTCTGATGCATATGTTCTTAATCTCTTCTCTTCACAAATATTTAGGCAAAAATCAAGATTTGTGAATAAGCGTGAATTGTGAGGTTATGTGGATTATTAGGCTAAAAAACTATACAAGCACATAAAGAATAAATATATGATAACCTAAGTTCCCAAGCAAGACAAAATTCCTACATGGATTTGCCTGTTCTTGTGAGCTTAAAGTTTTAAAAAGTCAACATATGGATTTGAACTTAGGATTTCGAAGAAAAGTATTTACTTCTAACACCTATTTAAAGGTTTAATTCAAAGGGTGGACTCTTGTGGAATAGGTGAAGAACTGTGACCTAGTGAAGCGACTAATATGTCTCTGTGAGACGGCCATTAAATCTAAGAGGTGTCTGCAGAGTTTTTATCTCGGAGTCTTTATGCTAACAAGCTCAGTGAAATCCTCAGATTACCACTCGTATCTCTCATTATAGCATACCAGCGCTGCCTTGAAGATCGTCTTGAGATAAGCCGCGTGCTATCGCGAGTAAACAGGGGGACATGATAAAAATAGCATCAAGGGGTTTCCTATTGTTTGGATGATTTTGGTGGGTGGGTAGCGTGAGATGGATGACGGACACCGCCTCGACTGATACCACTGAGTGGTGAACATCCTTGAATTATTAATCCAAGCTGTTGCTCCGGAAGACAATCCTTTAGTTTTCTATACGGGGGTACGATAAATGAACCTCTATTTTTATATAGAAGATTAATTGATTAATTAACTATTCAATTAAATTTATCAATTTATCAAAGACGAATAATGACATCATTAGCTTCCAAGAAGAAAAGGCGAAAAGATATAACAGAGAAGTGTTTGAAAAGAAAGTTGAGGAGAAAATATTTTTTCAGTGTAATAAGATGATCTCCGCCACAGTCACCGCAGAATCTAGGGAACAGTTTCTTTTGTGTTCTCGGAAACTTTTAAGTTCACTTTGCTTAATAGGGGCAACCGCTAGGAAGACTTCGGCACGCAAGAAAACGAAAACGTACCCAGTGACTTATCAGTTGGGAATTACTTTACTAATAATGGGAGAATGGTTTCGCGTTTCTAATACAGTGGTTGATCCACGGTGGAAGTTTTAACGGAAACTCTTGTACAGCGGCGTTGCCAAGGAGCAAACTTCATGACAACTGATTGCACTGTGTAACATGTCCCAGTGTCATGAAATCTAGAAATACTTTTACTCGTGCAACCTGAAAATCCTTGTTTCGCGAGGCAAGCTTCATCTGAAGAAATGTTCACTCAATTGCAAAATTATTCTGTCGGGTTTGAAAAATAAACCACAGAAGCTGAGTCCAAAATTGTATTCCGGTAAATGACAATTATCCTCTGATGTATTCGTTTGAGATACAGAGACGATATGAAACAAGTGTTAAAAGCCTCCATGCTTTCTGTCGGTGCAAATATTCATGAACATTCTACGTTTCTGACACCCGACAACGATTTTGAAATTGAGTTTATACGTAACATCCGTCGTACAACCTTTAAATCACTTGGTAGAAAAGTATTTTTATAACGCTGGCTCTCCTAAAGCACATATCATAGAAAAGTTCACGGCTGCCATGCTGTCAGAGGGCAGACTAAAATAATTGTTGTACTTGAAAAATGAAATATCTTTTACGGTAAGCAGAAATTGGAATTATAATTGGCTTACAAAATGGCTACCATTTTACCGATTAGGTAAAGAAACGAAGCATGGGTCACGTGATTGGACTTACTAAGGGCACGGAAAAGAAAAAAGTAAAGTTGAAACGCATATTATATTTATGATGACCAAAAACCTTTCCCTGCAACAAGACTTGCACGAGATTTCTTGATACCTCAGCACTTAGATTTTTCTTTTGTAATGCACCCTTACTCACGAGTACAGTGTCATAAAGGAAATGGTAATCTGTCCTAGCAGCCATGATGGCTAATCATGGAAATGAAAGTCATGCTGTAAAACATTGCCAAACCACAATATTGCCACTCGGCTGACTTGACAAAATGTTCGGATAATGCTGTCGGCACCGACATCCATCGTGATTGGACCGCGTGAAGGATTTACGTCACAATCTTAAAATGTAACAAGTATAGGACATTAAAAGCATCCGAAAACATGGGCTTTTAAGGACCTCGAATGAACTTGTCTTTGAACGAAGGAAAGCCCGTGTTATGATGGATCCATTCAGTTTGAATCTCTGACTGTACAACGATTAAAAAACACTTGGGGATCGATCCAAATTGACCCAATCTAACTTCAAATCACTTGGTGAACTATTTTCATATCGTTGGCTCTCCTAAAGGAATATCATAGTGGTTCACGGCAGCCATCTTGTCCAGATGACAAGATAAAATAAATTTTGCAATTTTGAGAAAAGAATACTGAGAATTTTAATTGCTTTACAACATGGCTGCCATGAACCCAACTATAGGGGGATTTGTAATGTGGTGTAAAATTGAGAAAATTTAATTTCTGTTTTAAGCTATGCTTTACTACAACGCAAAACATGTTGGTCTGTTAGTTTTCATTGAATATGAGGCGTGCCGGCCAAGATGGCGGTAGCCAGTTTAGTTTGAGTTTCCATGAGAAAATTATACTTTGCAACGAAATTATGATTCAAAATACATTTGTGTTTGCAAACACCTCAGTAAAAGATTTTGACAAAGCATTTGTTGTTTTCTAAATAAATGTACTGTAAAATGGACCTCGAATTGCCATGTAACTTGATTAAATACAAAAACAGCATATGAAATACCAAGCAAGGTATTGCTTTTCCCTCACAAAACACGTTGGTAAAAGCGGCATTAGAGGCACGGTTAAAAGACAAGCCAAGAAAATTGGCCATGTTATGATTTTTCACATATTTGAATCACTTTGCTGTAGTTCTGTAAAAGTATTGAAATAAGTAGGTGTTGTTTGTCTTGCTTCATTGAGTGATGTTTCGTAATTCCTAAACAAGCAAAAATGTGCTTTTCACACTTTGGAAACTGAGAAACCAAAGTGAATCGCCTGTAAACTGTCTATCAAAGGAAGGAAGGATAGATAAAAAATGCAGAATGCAAAAGCATCAGGAAAGGCGGCACATTATAAAAAGCTCTAGCCTTTGGGAAAATGATTTAGCTCAGTTCTTGAAGCGAATGAAGAAGAGCTGTACAGAAAATGTACATGGTACGAATAAGATATTAGAAAAATATATAAATACAGGGCTTAAATGATCTTTTAACAGATGAAGCTTTGAGATACAGTACATCATGCTGAGTTGAGTAAATCTTCTAAAACGTGAGGCAATGCAAGCTCACAGCAGAAACCTTAAACTTATTGCTTTCTCAGATGACAGCCAACAAAGAGTGATGGATCGCAAAAAAATTTTTACTTCCGGCGAAAACCACAGCATACCTATGAAACTAAATATTTATCACCCAAAAAAAAGGTTACAAGACATAAATTTTCCCCTGGAAGTGGTACGAATGATATCACATCCTTACAGAGGTTTAAAAGATGTTGTTCTGTTAGAGTAGAGTGGCTGGGGAGCATAGAACGATTACACAAAGAGGTTGACAACATGACAAGGGCGTAAGCGCGGACGATTTATGAGTTGGAAGATAATACGACTTTGACAAATGAGGATAATGTAAACATCGTCAATGTTTCGGATGCTAAATCATTCAGTGAACGCGTAAGTGCAAAGAAATTTGTCATAACAGCGCCGTGTACAACTCACAAGAATTTCAAAATTGGAGCCCTTCTTGGCAATTAAATATATATGAATTTTGAGTATTTTTGGGACAGTTTGATGCGGTTTCCAAAAGGTTTATTTTTAGCGTTTCTGTCCATGGAGTCAATCAGATTATCTGACATACATACACGTGTTCTGAAGTATTTTTAAGGCAAAAAGCAAGAAAATTAAAATGTAAGGAAAGATGAAAAGTTAAGATTTTAGATGGAAGTATATTGGAAGTTTTGGTGTAGGTAATTTTCACTAAATACCGCTTCATCAACGTTGGTGTGCAAGTTTACATTGCCAAATGTTTATAAGATGGTAGGCAAATAAAACTTAAAGCAAAAATTAAAAGAAAACACACTTTACCACTCAAATAAAGCTTAAACAGTAAATACTAAAAGTTCGTTACGCACCTTGTAAAATAGATTAAAAAGAAAATATATGAAGTTAATGAGTTAAAAGGAGACTCTGCTCGCAGGGTAAGAAAGACGGAGTGTTTGGATTTTAACCCCAAGAAGGATTCCATTTTTTTAAAACGAATTTTGAATAATAAAGTCAAGAAGAAAGTAGAAAATTTGTAAGCAGCTAAAATAATTTCATACCGTAGAAATTATTTTTCATTCATTCGAGCTGTCAAATCGACACTGTAGTTGTACTACAGCTAGAAAATGTCCATCTATCGATTTGCCAACTCAAAACACAAACTACTACAAGTTTTTACTCGATAAAACCTTGAGTATTTGACGTTCTACATAAGAAACTCAACAAAAGACAAATAAGGAAAGCTCTTTGTCTAAAACTTACCTTGTTTAGTAGACCCAGAAGACAACAAAGCCTCACAAAGGACAATAATCGTAGATAAAATGACCAACACAACAACAAGAACGATAAACTTCGATGTACGTGAAAAAGATCTTCGTTCCTCTACAACAAGATTATACCTCCCCATTCTAACTACGAGCCCTCTGACCAAAGGTTGAACTATATCAAGAAAGGTCTAGTGTACAAACCAACTAAATACAAACTACGTTTACGATGAGTATCGGAGAGCGAAGTGCGAACAGAAACCGTGATAAACGAGTAAAGGAAATGGTGTGCATAGTTTTTACGTCACGATTCCTTTGTCTCAAACTGGGCTGATCCGTGCCTGGATAATTTCACTAAAACTTCAAAAAAATCGGTAGTAGACAATGAATAAGAGCTTATTCTAAGTTTGTTTGAGTATAATGTAAATTTCTTAAGAAGTAAAGAGTGTAGAGAGTGAAAAAAATTAGCTCGGGAAAAAGAAAAAAAAAAAAAGAAATTGCCATCTGTCCTTTCATGACAACGCGCGCGCGTCATAATGGTTTTTTGTTGTGTTAAATTTCAATTCAAACGGATCATTTTACTACTCATACTTCTATTACTATAATCTTAAGATAAAACCTAAATAAAAAACATTGATTCCAAATAAAATATGAATTCTTTTTAGGACCAATATTTAAATCATTAAATAAAATAATACAAATCGCCAAACAATGCGAAAACAATTTTCGCTAATGATAATTGCCGCAGTCGAGTTTATCTTTAAGTCTTACAAATGTTTCCTAAACTTAACTCCTGAAGTTTTGAAATGTATTATAGCTAAACAAAGCACTTTTTTCCACTTTTTTCTTCCCTTTCTTCTCTCTTCAGACTCACTTTTTCACAAACTATTACGTAGATACTTCTTTTATTCCATACTCTTATTTCTTTCTATCCAAACCAAGAGAAATTGATGTGCCATTTTACAATCACGACAACTTAATGTTTCTAGCGCAAGTTTTAAATTCAGCATATATGGATTGACTCTTCTTATATAATTCTAATTTCAAAATATATACATCTGTAAAACATGCGCAAATTCTACCGCACTAAATTCTCATAACAAAAATTCTAAATTTACTTTCAGAAAAAAAAACACATTACGAAGTTTGTAGTGCTTGTTCGATTCAATATTAATTAACTACAATAAACCTTGAATCAGAAGCGATAGTTTCTGGTGTTTTTTTGTGTGTTTTTTGCTTGGCTTATGCTTGAAGAACTTTGTAAGAAACCGTTCAAATAAATTTATAGATTTCAATTTACTTTACCTAAGTTTCTATTTTTTCTTCTTCTCTCCTAGCACATCGTGTTACTATTTATACATTATCTGTTACATCATTTCATTCACATAAAGTAAACTATTTCCTGATCATTACTTTATCAATCTGTTTCCTCTTTTTCTTCAAGTTCTTTTTCATCCCTTTTTTTATCCCTTTACCATGTTTGTACTTCCTTTTCATTTATTCAGAGGTAATGATTTGTTTACAGTTTTAACACCAGAAAAAATGGGATTTATGTAATGCAACTAGTATTAATTAATATCAATGGAAAAACAAAATAGAATCGCAAGTATGGGAGTTGTCTGGAAATTCTAGCAGAGTGATTTTGATAAAAATTTGGGCCGTAAAATAATATAAGGCTACCATGTGAAGAAACTACATACTTAGTTACTTACGGTAGTTAAACTTAGCAAACTTAACTGCAAAACAAAAGAAGCAGAAACAAACTTTGTGATTCGCTGATTCGTATTCTCAAGGGCTGTAAATTTGTGATAAATTCTACATGCACTATATGACATATGAAAGGCCTTGCAGTTAGCATTCTTAACCTGGAGGTTGACAAAGGTTACAGACAATAATTTGTTAAGAATGTACTCAAATACTTGATAATCCCTTGCACGCACCAAAGGTCATGCTTGGCTTGCTTAAACAAAAAACATACATAACCTTTGTATATGAAACTCTTCAGCAGTAAGTATGACACTATGATATTGCTCAATAATTACGATGGTATTTGATTATCAAGCAGGGACATTATTACCTTAGCATTATTTATATTGAAAGTGAATGGGGGTGGATCGAGGCACACACATCTCACTACAAAGTATAAATATAAAATTAAAGGTATTCTCCTATCAACTGAAAAGATTAAAAACATCTGAGCTTTCGAGCAACCATCTAAGCTCTGATGCTTTTGAACTTTGATGTTGAAAAAAGAGTATCTTCCCTCTTAATTAAAATGTCCAAGCAAAAGAACCTACATTTTGTGATTTATAAATATATACTTTTTACTTTATTCACAATATTTTGTTTTTGCTTTTTAACACAAATTAATAGAGGGTATCATTTCAATTCTTTCTTCTTATCCATTATATTACCTTTAGAAATTTTCCCCAAAATTATAGGATTCCACTACCCCTCCCCCTAATCATTACATCATCCCACAAAAATTTCACTGAAGAAAATTAGCCCGTTTTTAGCAAGTTTGAATTTTTTTCACATCTTAAAAAATAATGTGAAAGAACGAAATTTTTAAAAATTATTTAATAATTATTGTTAGATAAAAGATGAAATACATGAGTAAATCTAAGGACTTTTGGTAAGAAACTCTAAATAAGTAACAAATTATTAAATATAAAACTACAAAATTCTTGATTTAAGAATTTGAAATTATTTATTTATTTATTTTGTAAACAAAACTAGCTACAAATTTTAAACAAAACGCGAATCTGCAAGTGTTACAAAAAGTCTAGACAAAAACTAATTTCTTTTTATCTGTAAAGCATAATTATTTGGTGAAAAATGCATTAAGAAACGGTTTCACAAAATTATGATTTTAAGATAAGATACAACAGTGCTAATTATGCGAATTATTTTACTAAAAGATTCGTAATTATTTTTATCTGTATATCGCTAAATTAAGCGAGAATTGAACTCAATTAAGAACTTTCAATTTAGAAATTGATAGAATTGAATTCATAAAAATTGTTAAGAAATTATCGAAAATTTTCCGTAATTTTGAGGATAGCTATCTTTTTTAGTTTTACTATTTAGCTTGGGTTTGTTCCTACGAGATAGTTTTTAAGTTTCATAGTATTAATGAGAAGCTCCTAAGATGGCGTCGATAACCTCTGTGTTATCAAATTTTGGGTTGCTTTAAGGAAATAAGATTGTGGTTGAGAGAAATTTAAAGAACGAATACCGCATGTTGGTTATGTTATATCAAATTATCTCTAACTCGAACAGCGCTAACTTCTACTCAAATCCAAATAATATAATACTCCCCTAAACAAGATAATCTCAATGTAATCTAGATATAAAAACAACGTATAGAATCTTGAATAGAATCTTGAATAGAATAGTACTTGAAGGTACTAAAGAATCCCTGTTGGAGAACTTCGGAAGCTCGCTTCGCGAAGAAGAATACCTCGGAATATCCGGAAAGCGCACCGCACAACTAAGGCTAAAATTACAAGGAATGATTCACTCGGTACGTCATTAAATGTTTGATATTCAAGCAAGATCTTTGCAAAGTTTTCTTAAGGAAAAGTTTTGATGTACACAAGGGTTACATTCCAGGATATGAAATGTACAATAGAGACAGTAAAGATGGATTATGTGACAGTATATTTGAGCATAGAGCTTTGTAGAACAGTAAAGCCAGAGACGATTACTCTTTACAAGCTTTAATATCTCAGTGGATAAGCGTCTAATTGGACTCACTTAAGCGATCAGATAGCACAAAAAAAGTACTTAATTGCCAAGTTAACTAAACATTTGTTTATGAATCGCAGAGATTGAAAAATTAGCGTTTGTGAGTTTCCTCACGAGCGACCACAATTTCGTAGCTCATTCCTCAATCTCGCACCATATGTCACTTTTACACCTTGAAATCATAGAAACCCGCTATAAACCCTCGTATTCCTGCCGTAATACTTCCTAGTTTATTCGCATCAAGTACGTGGTTAAACAGTGTTTTTTCTAGTGAATTCAAAATTCAATAAACTAGAAAAAAAGGGCCGAAAAAAAGTGCTTGAAACTGAGAAATCTACATTTATTGAAAGCGCAAGCGACGCGCGCGCTTAGTTTTATCGAGTCTCTAAGTAACACACTTGGGAGAGAACCTCTCTACGGGATTTATCTTCTAATACTTGTACAATTTAGTGAACTATTAGTATCTGCCAAAAAGTCGTAAATCACTTTTGATTTATGCTCCGAGCGACCTCGAGCAAAGGAATTTCACATAAATCATTCGAGATTTGAAAAGTTCACCTCAGCTAGAGGATCACTTCCATTATTGGTATTCTCAAATTACACAAGTCAAAAGATATCATTCTTACCTTGAAAACACTGTAGAATTATCAGAAATATCGAGAAAAGCTTCATCCAGGCCATGGCTAGTAGTCCAGACCCGTTAGAATCCGTTTAAATCCAAAAATCCTGGAATGAAGAACATAAACAAACTTGAGCGCTTGTCGAGTTAACAAATCCTACCGACTGTGTCGGCATGTGGGTTGAATGATAGCTGAGCAAGCCGGTAAATTGTCCTTTCCAGAAAGGAGTGTTTGTCGTAGACCTGTCATGTCAACAAGTCCATTGTATAGTGTCATGTTGAGATGTGAACTTAATCTTACATAGATTTGACAGCTAAGTCTAGTTAGCACCAGACCTTCTGACCTACTACCTCCATAAACTCGAGAGAGATAGCGAAATCTTAAGATTGCATGGTCCCGTGAGGGCGTTTTTGACCTCCAACGAAACTACACTCATTGCACACTAACACCGTGCTAAAACCTTGCAAACTTGAAGTGCTATCGCAGTTTAGGATCTTATGAAACTGTTTGATTAGAAGACGAGCTTAGATGCGTCTTAGCCAATCAGATCGTAGGATTCATAGTTATTGACCGCAATTTTAATGGCATTTCACTCCAGTCTTCCGTTCCCCCTGCGCGACAGCCAGACTTTGAGACCGCAATTTTTAGATTTGTACAAATTCTTCCTCTATTTCACATTCAATTGTATGCTTATATTTATTCGTATTAAACGTAGAATTAATACCCCATTAAAAATTTAGAGAGCGCGCTGGAAAAATCAGAACCTTTTTAGCGTCACTTAAACCAGATCACCAAACGTATCACATTACAATCTAAGTCCTCCCTCGCGTCTAAATAGAATCTATATTCCTCCATATGGACGCAAACTCCTGGCCGTTTCTCAAAACACTAGAA